AGTGGGAAAGGGAGAAGCAGGCTTCCCGCTGAGCAGGGAGCCTGATGCGGGGCTCGATCCCAGGACCCTGGGATCATGACGTGAGCTGAAAGCAGAGGCTTAACAACTGAGCCACTCAGGCGCCCTCCATGATATTCTTAAAGATTTTGAACCATACTAAATAGTAACCTACAGCATAAGTCCTGCTTTTCACATTGCTTATAATATATGTTTCAAAGTCTTACAATTTTCTTATTTCCCCAGCACTCCTCCTCAGTCAGAATCACTCTTGGTAAATGACCTCAGCGCCTTCATTTGAGATTATTTAGTCATAAATGAGAATTAAACAGACTCCTTTCCTATATTTCTCAACATTTCTGTCTCCAGGTTTTGCCTTTGGCTTCACTGCTGAGAAAAGAAGCTTCTCCCTAATTCTGCTCTCCTTGTGGTCTTTATTTTTTTTTTCCAGCTGTGAAATACTTTAAACATATAGAAAAATACAGATGATAATAAAGCAGACACCTATGTACCTATCTCCTTGACTAAACAAATGTTAGAGTTTGTCAGATTTGCTTTAGTTTTTTTTTTAAATGATACAACTTTTGTACTTTTTTGTGTCATATTGGTTGATAATTTTTTCTTTTTTTTTAATTTTTATTATGTTCATTTTTTTTTCATTTAGAGTACATCATTAGTTTTTGATGTAGTGTTCAACAGTTCATTAGTTGCCTGTAACACCCAGTGCTTATCACCACACGTGCCCTTCTTAATACCCATCACCTGGTTACCCCCACCCCCCACACCCCCTCCCTTCTGTAACCCTCAGCTTGTTTCCCAGAGTCCAGGGTCTGTCATGGTTTGTCTCGCTCTCTGATTTCTTCCCATTCAGTTTTCCCTTCCTTCCGCTGTGGTCCTCTGCACTATTCTTTATGTTCTGCATATGAGTGAAATTATATGATAATGACTTTCTCTGCTTGACTTATTTCACTTAGCGTAATCCCCTCCAGTTGCATCCATGTGGATGCAAATGGTAGGTATTCATCCTTTCTGATGGCTGAGTACATTCCATCGTATATATGAACCACATCTTCTTTATCCATTCATCTGTTGAAGGACATCTTGGCTCCTTCCACAGTTTGGCTATTGTGAACATTGCTGCTATGAACATTGGGGTACATGTGCCCCTTCTTTTCACATCTGTGTCTTTGGGATAAATACCTAATAGTGCAATTGCTGGGTTGTAGGGTAGCTCTATTTTTAATGTCTTGAGGAACCTACAAAACTAAGAGGCAACCCATGGAATGGGAGAAGATAATTTTTTTCTCTTATACTGTTCTTGTTTGTCCTTATTTTGGAATAAAGGTTATATTAACTTTATAAAGTGAATTGGAAATATTTCTTTATAAACTTATTCTCTGGAATATGTACAAAATGAAGTGGTGGAAGAGTTCCTTAATGGACTGGTAAAACTCATCTTTCGGGCAACTTTTATAATATATATTCTGTGTGCATGTGGGTTAGGGGAGGTTGCCTGTTTATCAGTTTTTTTAAATTTTTGCAAATTTAGTCAGGTTTTCTATTTCAAATTTGAATATAAACTTAAAAATAGTTGGTCTTCAAAGATATTGGATTAAGTCATAGTATTTTATATGCCACTTAAAATCTATTTTTCATTGTATGTTCCTTGTATACTATATCTATAATTATGTCTCTACCTTTCGTTTCTCTATATTTATACCAAGTCTTACCAGAGGTATATCTCTTTCATTAATCTAATACAAAAAAACAAAAACAGTACCCCTTTTTTTGGTGTTGATGGTCTTCATTGTCCTTTCCTATTTCATGAATGTATACTCTTATTTTTGTAGTCCTTCCTTCTTTCTCAGATTTTTCTAGTTTTATTAACTTCTTGATTTGCACACTAAACCTTGAATTTTCAGTATTTCTTTCTACTCTGTAATAGATACACTTCATCTTTTAAACCAAGTTTCATTTCACAATTTTGGCATTGTCATTTAGAATCCAAATATTTTCTAATTTCTATTAAATTTTTTTTCTTTAGCTTATGAAATACTTTTTTTTGTGCTTTTGAGTGTCCGAATATATAACAGGTGTGGGAGGATTGGAGAGTTGCTGTGTTTGTGTTACTGCTGCCTAATTAGATGAAATTTAATATTGTTCATCAGTATTTATAGACTCACTGGTCAGATTTTTATTTGTTTTGTTGTTCCTTGAGTGGTGACAAAACATTGCTTTCTCTAACAGCTCAGTGCAGTGCCCTATGTTAAATTCATTGGTTCAACATTGATTATTGGGTTGTTAAAATTCTCTTATTAAGACAAGTTTTTTGTCTGATGTCTCAGTTTCTGGTAGAAGATATTAAGACTTCCCACTAGCATCATGTAATGGCACTTTCTCTTTTTAGTTCTCTCAGTTTTAAGTTTTTGAATGATATGCTGCTGAAATGGTTGCAGATTTAAGGTCATTATATCTTCTCAGTGAATTATTCCTTTTATGATCTTTCTCACCCCCAACAAGGTTTTCTACCTTTGTTTATGTTGTCTGATATTAATATTGTTATTATTTTGTTGTTGTTTTGAATCTCAGCCTGGTATGTGTTTATCTCATTTTCATCCATTATGATTTTTAAGTTTATTTCTTATAAGCAGCATATAGCTGGATTGTATTGCTTTTTAAATCTAGTATGAAAATCCATTTATATTTATTTTGATTTTTGTTGGACTTAATTTTTAATTTTTTCCCCCTGCTTTTATGCCTTCCATTTGATTCATTGAGATTTCCTTCCATGCACTTATTTGGGAGTTATCACTCTTTCTTGTTGCTTCTCGTGGTCACCTCTAGAGCTTTCACCAAGTAAAGACTAGTCCAAATCTCTCTCCTTCCCAAATCAGACCAGGGTTTGTTTACTCTGATTTCAGTCACGCTGTCCCATCTTGCATGCAATTATTTTCCATTTTATTTTCTCTTTATTTAACTTAGTTCCTTTATTTAACTCTTACTGGTTCTTAGTATTATTTTTCACAGTTAATATTTACTTGGAGATGCTCTGATCTATTAGTCTTTTACTTGACCATGGCTTCTGCAACCCATTTATTTCTTCTTTGATTTAATTTCATTTGTTGAGAACATCCACTAGTGATTATTTTAGCAAGATTCTCTAAAGCACAGAGTTTCCATTTTGGATCCTGAAAATGTTCTTTTTTTTTTTCTAAGATTTTATTTATTTGTTTGAGAGAGGGGGAGAGAGAGAGGGAGAGTGCACAAGTGGTGGGAGAGGCAGAGGGAGAGGGAGAGAAAGAATCTCAAGTAGACTCCCTGTTGATTGCAGAGCCTGACTGGAGGCTGGATCCCAGGACTTTGAGATCATTACCTGAGCTGAAATCAAGAGTCAGATGCTTGACTGAGCCACCTCGGTGCCCTGACCCTGAAAATGTTCTTATATTATTGCCGTCATCTAGATTGATGCTTATATTCTCTTAACCCTTTGAAGATATTCTACTGCTATCTGTTATTCATTGATAAAATTTCCTAATATCATCTCTTTGGATGTAATCTGTTTTTCTTAAAAATTGTTATAAGATATTCTTTTTGTTTTTGATGTTTTATAATTTCAACACATCAGATGAAAGTGGGTATTTGTCCTTCTTGAGATTTGGTGTATTGCTTTATCCAAGAACTCATATTTTCAGTTCTAAAAATGCGAGCCATTAGCTCTTCAAATACTGCCTGTTCTCTATCTGCTGTTTTGAATCTCCTATAGATGTTCATCCTGACTGCTTGTGCCCTTCCCCATAGTTCTTCACTAGCCTACTTTTTGACCCATCGTTTTTTTTTTATGCTGCATTCTAGATTTTTTTTTTTACTCTGTATGTTAATTAATGATTCTTTCCTCTGCTGTGTCCATTACTTTTTTTAGTTTAAAAACTAAATTTTCATTTCTAGGTGTTCTGTCTGGTTCTGTTTCAGAGTTGCCTATTATTTCATCATAGTTCCCTGTTTATTAATAATGACTTTTATTCTGTCTTTCATCACTAATTATTTAGCACAAGAGATGGCAGTTTTTTCTGCCAAGGGCTGAGGAGCTAATATAGGTCATGCGATTTCTGGCACAACTATTCAGCTCTGCGTTGTCGCGCAAAGGCAGACCTAGGCAGTAGCTAAACAATCAGGCATTTACTATGTTCCATTAAAACTTTACCAGGACAAAAGTTGGGCTAGATATAGCTCATGGGCCATGATTTGCTGACCCTTGATTTAAAACGTACTCTATTAATAAACAGCTCACATTCTTGGTGTTCTCTTAAGTAACTGAAAGTGGCAGTTCTTCTGTTTGATGCATCATCTGGCTGTTTGTTAGAGTGGATAATTTTCTTGTATGTCATAATTTTGAGTTGTGGACTCTACACACAGCCTTCTGTTGAAGGTCAGTGTACCTTGAATTGTAGAATTATCCTTCAAAGTGTATTGGTATTTTAGATCTTGAAACTAATGTTTTTATAAAAGATTGCTTTAATTTTAAATTATTATTTTCAAAATACCCTGAACAGGAATCTTTTGAAATAATCCAGTGCCTGTGCTCTGCCTGGTGTATGGGGAATCACATAGCTCTGAGCTAGCTATCAATACCTCTGTTAAAATTAACAGCACTGTTATTATTGTTATTATTGATCTTAGGTCTTATAGAATCTATAAAAATTGATTCCAAATTCTGATTAATTGGAAGACCATAATTAAAATACTTCTTTATCTAGACCTGATGCTACTTTGACTAAAATATATAGATGGTATGAGTGAAGTATACATTATGAAAATAAAAGACAAGTAAGACAAGACAGAAACACAAAAGAAGCTTTGGAGAGTTCCTTCTGAAATGTCACTTTTAAAAAGTGACAGAGCCAGACATATTATTGAATATGTTCAATATGTACATATGTGTATATGTGCATGTGCATGTTTTCCCCAGTCTACAGTGAATTAATGCTCTTCCTTGTTTATCACAGGGCACTTGAAATGGACCAAAGCTGAGGACATTGACATAGAAACCCCAGGATCTATTCTTGTCAACACTAACTTGAGGGCTTTAATAAATAAACATACGTTTGCTTCCTTACCTCAGCATTTTCAACAATACCTCCTGCTTTTGCTCCCAGAAGTGGATAGGCAGGTAAGTGAGAGTTTTAGACATTTAATATTAGTCACTAGTTAAATTATCATGAAGTGGTAGTTCTGTTATCAAAGATGACTGATACACGTATGCACCCTTTTTATAACAAGATAGTCTATTTATAACTTATATACTTGTTGCTAGCATTGGTGTGTTTAATTTGCCAAAACAGAACCATTTTTATTATCAGTAGAGAGCCAATTCAGATTTTAAAATACAACACATTGCTGTAGAGTGAAAACAAAAGTCCTTTCCACATTGGAAAGGGAAAACAAAGAAATCAAACATTCCATTATCAAATAAATCTTTGAAGTAGCTGCTCCTTTTGCCTGGAGGGAATATTGAAGTGCAGCAATAAAAAGCCAGGGTTTCTAAGAAATTATGTAAATGTTTTTATTCTCAACTCTTTCCAAAAAGCATTTAAAATTTATGTTTGCAGTTGCCTTCTGAGACTCTATCATCATGAATATGATTGCCTATAAATAATCACCTTTTATCTTTCTTTTTTTAGTATAACTGGAAATGCTTTAAGTTTATTTTTGTATTTTGAAAGGCCTCTAAAATAAGGAAATACAAATATAGACCCATAATAGCAGGCATCAATCATCTTCTAAAGCTGTTTCCTTGGAAAAGAAAAGGAAAAAATATTTCATCACATAAACTTTTATTAAATTTCACAAAAGTTATTAAATGGCAACTAGGAAAAATTTCCTTGTCATTCTTATTTCAATAAATTTTGACACTGTATATAGTTTCCAGTTGATGGACATAATGTATATGTGTTTATGTATTTGCATCTCAAAATGAGAGGTACATTCATATACTGAAATGGGTAAGATTATTCAATATTTCCATATTACTTTGAATAAATTTTCTTAGCTTTTTATTTGATTCTATTTTCTACTAACTTAGCTGCCTCCTTTCATATATATTTAAAATGTGATGAGCTACGGTTTTCTACCACTCATGTACCTCTTTGGTGGAGATTATTGTTCACATTTAGAAAAAGATTATTGTGATTTTGGGTACATTTCTGTTTGGGAGTTTGCCTTCATTCTATGAAAATGTGTTTAATGTTTACTCTGAATATGGTATGTTTTAGGTCCTTTGGAGTAATGGAAAGACAGTAAGTGCCTATTAAGTATTTATTGATGATTAAGTATGCTTTTGTTGGATACATAAGCTATATTTGTGAATAATCAGAATGTGAGGTAGAAATAGGTAAGCCTTGAGGGGAAAGCACAAAGTATATTGAGCTTTCATCTGCAGAAGGGAAAAATCAGAGACAAATTTAAGGTCCTTGCATTGGGCCTTGAGATGTAGGCAGGATTTGAATAAAATAGATGGACTTCCAAGTGAAAAGTTCAAGGATACAAAATCAAGAGCTATTTTTGTAGGACTCCAGATTGTAGGATGAACAGTGCAAAAGAATCTGGACAAATTGGAAGTCAATTTTGGAAGATTCCTTGAGTTATGAGGCTAAGGAGTCTGAACAGTGTTCTCCCTGTGTTTGCAAAGCCATTGAGGGCTTTTTAGCACAGCTGTAATATGGTAAGATTGTTGCTTTTTAAGAAAATTATTCTGGCAGTATTTGAAAGGGAATGTAGAGATGGGATGCATAAAAGTAGGAAGAGTTGTTAGGACGCAATTTTAGTTGTTCCAAAAAGGCAAAATGAGGGCTTGAATTTGGAGAATAGTGTTGAAATTAAAGAGGAGGAAGATAATGTGATCATCACCATCATCATCCAGTGGTAACAATTCTGCATTTTGTCAAATAACACTTGAACAAGGTATAGGGAGAAGCCACTGATGACTCTCGGGTTTCACATTTGTGTGGCTGAGAACTGAGTTTGGGAGCTAAGGAAAACTTTTTTGAGGGGGTGGGAGAGACTGATTTATTAGCGATAGAACTATTTCCTCCGCCTTAGCATACATGTGGTTCATCTTGTTTACAATTCTGTCCCCAGCTCCTGGAATAAGATTAGGCACACACAAGGTACTCAATAAATCTTTTGGAATGAAGAAATGACAAATTGCTCTAGGTTTAGCCAAATATTTTGGTAACCCAGAAGGCCAGTGTAAGCCTAGTATTTTATTCAACCTGTAGCCATTTCTGTTTCTCATTTTTTCCATTCAGTGTGGTAAGTGTAATAAGGCACAATACCTGTCCCCATATAACAATTAGTCCACTGGCAAATTACTCAGGCAGTGTTTACTGAGCATGTACTGTTTACTGTATACAGTTTGCTAAATACAGAGGATGTAAGAATGAATCTTGGGGAGAAATCACAGGTAGGAGAAAGACAACCTCATGGTGATATACAGTACACTGCTTATTACTAGGGAAGAAGTCTAATAACTGGGTAAACTTGCACCAAATTTGGTATAAGACCAGGAAGAGCAACATAAATGTCAAAGTAGACTTTTAAAGAAAGTCTTATGTAGGCACAGAGGATGAAGAAATTTAATCGTAAACTAACATTGGAGAAGATTTTATGGTGGAGAAGATACCTCAGTTGAGCCTTGAAAGACTAATAGGTGTTTTGCAAGTAGAGCCAAGGGAAAGTGAATTCTCTAGAGGGAGAGCATGTCATTTATAAAGATCTGCTGCTTGTGTGTTCCAGAAGATTTAATAGTTCAGTATGATTGGATCATGCTATGGGGGGAAAGTGGTGAGCTACTCTGCTGATGGGGAGTATGGTGTACAACCTTGATGACCTAGTTGCAGATTAAGCTTTTCAAACTTTTTCTGAAACCATCATAGAGTTTTTCAAATGAGAAATGGCCTGCATACAATAATTTAAACAGATATTTTCATGCCTGGACATAGGGGAGGGAAAGGGGATAAATAAAGTGCATTCCTTATTTTCTCCTAGGAGCTAGTAGCCCTGTGAATGTTGGATTGGACAGGCAGAAAGATAAGACACAGAGAAACTGGGTAAGAGACAATTGTACTAGTTGAGATATGAGATAAGGGTGTGACCTTGGGCATTGGCCTTGGAAATGAGAAGAAAGGACTGAATTCCAGACATAGTTTCAACCTACTTGAGTAGGAATAAATGACAGATTGCCTGTGGGATAGGGTTGTAAAAGGTCTAGAAGGCAACCGGATATTTTATCTAGGGTGACTTGGGAGGACAGTAAAGCTCTGTGGGCCTATCAACCATTTGATACCAAGAAATTCAGAGCTCAGTGTCTGTGTGCCTTGCTTGAGGTGAGCTGAAGCACCCTCTCTCCTATCAGAAAGGGGCAGGCGTCTTGATGCAGCAAGCTCCCCACACTGCTGCTGTTGCAGCACAGCTTAGAAATAATCCAGATGGCATTGAACACCACCACTCTCTGGGCCAGAATGAGTAGAAAAGGCACGCAAACATGAAGCTAATTACATAGATTTATTTGAACCAGTGGAAAGTACTATAATTATATGAAATACCTCAGAATTTCACTTGTATGAAAACTTGTCTTTATATATCTGTCTAGAATGTGAAAGTCCCAGGTTTCTTGTTTCCTTCCTTTAACTCCCCAGGTTTCTACCAGATTTCTCCCCTGAAGCAGTCCCTACCAGCCTCTGTCTGACTCTGGACCATAGAAAGCTGGGGGATCATTCAGTTGTTACATCTTCGTATATGGAAGCTGGGTTTCCCATTTATCTTATCAGTGCCAATTGTCATTCGGCCAACCTGTCTGGTATTTTGTTTTTCTATATTTCTACTTTTCTTTCTTTTATATAGGGCTGCTTATCTTAGATTTCATATATATTAACTTCTAGTTGTTTTATAGCATTTTACACAATGTACTGCAAGTAGCAGAAAATCAAACTCAAACTGACTTAAATATAAAGGGATTTATTGGCTTAGGTAATTAGAAGATAGAAATTAGAGTGGGCTTCTGGTTGTTGGTCCTGGGATCTACATATTGTCAAGAACCCATTTCATTATTATTTAATGAATTAATTTTAAAAATCATCTTTCTTCTTGTTGGCATTATTCTAATCCCCCTTTGTTTTTTTGTTTTTGTTTTTGTTTTTTTCCTAATTCCCCTTTGTGATAGGATGGCTACCTGAATAAAAAAATGGGTTTCAAAGAAAAGGTCTGAGATTCACACCATTGGTACTACTAAGATCACAAGACCACTTCTTAAACAGTGCCTCTAGCTAAGGAAATGGAATATGCAAATTGTTTAGAGCAGCTAGACCTATTCTTGAACCTCAGTGTGCTCACCGTCTCCTCCAGTAAAAATGATGCACTGTGATAGAGGTCAGGAGTACTTTAGAAATCTGGCTTTTAGGAAGTTATGGTAGAGGATTCGCAACCAGGGGTGAGGGATAATCTTGCAGTCCACTAACAGTGCCCATTATAGGGGGGTAGGTATTGAGTTTGGTTTTAACAGGTTGGACTGAGATGCTTCTACTATATGAAATGTTGAGAAGTAATTATACAGGTTTTAAAACTGAAGGAGATGGAGTTAGTTTATAGCTATTTATAAAATCTACATAGATAATGGTGTCAACTATGGGATTTGCTGAGCTACCAGATATAGCTATCCCAGAGGAATACATGTATTTGTGAGAGGGTGTGGATGAGAAAGAGTATGGGAAGGAGCCAGGGAATAGACAGAACATTAGCAAATACTTCAGAGATCGTCATGTGCATGTTGTATACTGGCAACAGTGTCATGGCTGTTGGGAGGTGGGTGGGGAGTGAGTGGGATATCTTTCCTTTGTCCCTCTAGATCCACCCTTCAGCCTTCTTTACTCTGCTTTGCTGCAGGAGGCTGAACCATATATGGACTAATGCACCAGGAGGACCTATGCCTTCTGTATTTTTTTTTTAATTTTTTAAAAATAATCATACACTTTTAGAAAATTGAAGATACATTAGAGAATTAGTTTCCAGCCTGGTGATCCATCCAGGACCCCCTTCCCCCAGTATATTATGACTGTAATATATTTGCACCTTGCACCTATTAGTTGGCACATAATTTTTATTTGTCACAATACT